GCCAGGATGGTCTCAATTTCCTGACCTTGTGATCTGCCTGCCTTGACCTCCCGAAGTGCTGGGGCCACAGGCATGAGCCACTGCGCCCAGCCTAATTTTTGTATTTTTTAGTAGAGATGGGGTTTCACCATGTTGGTCAGGCTGGTCTTGAACTACCGACCTCGTGATCCACCCACCTTGGCCTCCCAAAGTGCTGGGATTACAGGGGTGTGAGCCACCGTGCCCAGCCTTTTGTTTTGTTTTGTTTTTGTTTTAAGACTGGGTCTCACTCTTGTCCCACAGGCTGGTGTGCCGTGGCTTGATCTTGGCTCATTGCAACCTCTGCCCCCAGGGTTCAAGTGATTCTCCTGTCTCAGACTCTAAAGTAGCTGAGATTACAGGTGTGTGTTACCACGCCTGGCTAATTTTTGTATTTTAATTAGAGACAGGGTTTTGCCATGTTGACCAGTTTGGTCTCAAACTCCTGACCTCAAATGATCTACCTGCCTCAGCCTCCCAAAGTGCTGGGATTACAGGCATGAGCCACCACACTCAGCCTGATTCTTTTTTTTTTTTTTTTTTGAGACGGCGTCTCACTCTATCGCCCAGGCTGGAGTGCAGTGGTGTGTGGATCTCCGCTTGGCTGCAAGCTCTGCCTCCCAGGTTCAGCCACTCTCCCACCTCAGCCTCTCCTGGTAGCCTGGGACTACAGGGCGTCCACCACCACACCCCACGCTAAGTTTTTGTTGTTATTTTTGTAAGGAGATGGGTTTCCTGTTTAGCCAGGATGATTCTCGATCTCCTGGACCTCAGATCTGCCCCTCAGCCTCCCAAAGTGTGGGATTACAGGGTGGTGAGCCACTGCGCCCGGCCCCTGGATTCATTTTGTTAATGTAAAAAGCTTAATGCCAAAAAGATAAAACTTAGCAATGACAAAAATGCCCCAAAGGTGGAAATAAATCCCACCCTGACCTTGTGCGAGATGACCTCTGACAACAGTCTCAGGGGGAATTGGCATCGCGAGACTGTTAGCAGAGGCTGTCCATTCCACACTGTTCATGTTTATATAATTACACTGTGTTTTCTTTTTTTTGTTTTGAGACGGAGTCTCACTCTGGATCCCCAGGCTGGAGTGGCGTGGCCGGGATCTCAGCTCCACTTGCGCAAGCTCCGCCTCGCCCGGGCGTTCCTGCCATTCTCCTGCCTCAGCCTCCCGAGTAGCGGGCACTAGCAGGCCCGCGACACCTCGGCGCCGTGCTAATTTTTTGTATTTTTTAGTAGAGACGGGGTTTCACCGTGTTAGCCAGGGATGGTCTCGATCTTCTGACCTCGATGCCGCGGTCTCAGCCTCCCAAAGTGCTGGGATGTGTTATTCTTAAGGTTTTTAAAACATTTATTTTAACAAATTTCTTTTTGAAAAGCTACACTGTGCACGTGATAAAATCCAACAGAGGCCAATAGGGCAGCCCCGTGAGAAAGATGGTTCTCCCAGTCTGGGGCCCCTCCCCAGGCACAGCCTTCCATACATCTAACAGAGACACCCACACATAGAGAAGCACCCACAAACCGTTTCTTTCCTTCTTTTATTTGAGATGGCGTTTCTGTCGCCCAGGCTGGAGTGCAGTGGTGCGATGTAAGCTCACTGCAACCTCCGCCTCCTCATGCGATTCTCCTGCCTCAGCCTCCGGAGTAGCTGGGACTACAGGCGCCCGCTACCGCACCCGGCTAATTTTTGTATTTTTAGTAGAGACGGGGTTTCACCATGTTGGCCAGGCTGGTCTCAAACTCCTGTCCTACGGTGATCTGCTCGCCTCGGCCTCCCAAAGTGCTGGGATTGCAGGTGTGAGCCACTGTGTCCAGCCTGCTAGAGGCATCTTAAAACATATCTCCTGTGTCTCCATTCCAAAGCACATCTTTGTTTGCACTCCTGGAGTCCTCCCGCGTCAGCCTCCCAAAGTGCTGGGATTGCAGTTGTGAGCCACTGTGCCCGGCCCCACCAAATTGTTTTCTCACCTGCTGTTTTTTGGAGGAATCTTTTCTGCAGCGCGTGACTCACGTGTAGAGCCCCTTGTTCTTGAGGCCTTCATGCCCGTCAGCTCATCTAAAAGTCACTCCTGAGGAGTGAGGGCAAGGGGCATTGGGAGAGATCAGGTGGCCCCAGGAAGCCATCCAGCGTGTGTCCCAGGAGGCCTGCTGCCTGCAGACACTGCTCCCAGACGCAGCAGCCTTGGCCATCAGCGTGTGTCCCACGATGAGGTGGCAAGTTCTCTGTAGGCCTTGCTCTCACCCAGGGGTGTGGGTCTCCGTGTGCACACATATGTGCTAATAGTTCTACATTTGCCATATACCATTTATATGCCTTATGCAGATTAACCCACTTTAATCTCAAAAAAACCTGCTGTCATCATGCCCATTGTACAGATGAGGACACCGAGTCACAGAATCCTGGTGACCTGTGCAAGGTCACACAGCTGGGAGGGGTGGGGGAAAGGCCTGTTAACCCAGCAGGCCCAGCCCCTGAGTCTAGGCTCTGCAGCTGTCTTGGGAGCAGAGTCTGAGAAGCACAATAGGTACCTGTTCTAGGGGGAGAAAGGTGGAGGTGGCAGGTAGAGAGAGGATGACCCCTGGGAGCTGGGACGGCTCCACACGGACAGGCTGGGTGACCTCAGGCAAGTCGCTACCCATTTGAGACCCCAAGGACCCCTCTGCAGACCCAGCTGGGGGTCCCTGATGAGGTTGGCTCTCAGGGTCCCTATGAGTCCCAATGGCTGAGGCCAGTAATGTCCCGGCACCATCACTGGACATGGTTTGCTCTGACATGGAGGGGCAAGTGTAGCAGCCAAAAGCAATCCTGAGCTCCGGGCCTCTGAACCCTGCCCTACCAGCTACTGTGGGTGTGTCTACCCTCTCTGTGTCTCAGTTTCCTTTCCTGAAGAGAGGGGGGTAGTAAAAACCATCCCTCAGGGTGTTTATTACCAACGCCCTTCGTGGAGGGATCAGCTGGCCCAGGCCCTTGCCAGCAGGTGCACAGCTGGGCCTGGGGGCCTGGGTGTGGGTCTGTTGAACCTTGACCCACCCTGGAGCTGTGGTCGGACTGGACGTGCAGGTGTGGAGGTGCGTGTTTATTAGGGCGATTTCTGACAGATGACAGAGTGTGGGGCTCTCTTCGTGGAGGCCTTGGGTCAAAAGCCCTCATTTTGCACCAAGGGCTATGAGGCTTCACAAGGGCAAGGGCCTGACTGGGGTTATGGGCCGCCCGCCGACCCCTCCTCTCCCACTTTGTTTGCAGTTCTGGGAAGTCATCAGCGATGAGCATGGCATTGACCCCAGCGGCAACTACGTGGGCGACTCGGACTTGCAGCTGGAGCGGATCAGCGTCTACTACAACGAGGCCTCCTGTGAGTGGCTGCCTCAGCCTCCCCACCCCAGCCTCCCCATCCCAGCCCTGGACTGACCAGGTCTCCTCAGCATCTCTGTCCTCCCATGGGTTGGCCGAGATGCCAGCAGGCATAAGTGGATGTCGGGCATCCAGAGGCACAAAATAAAGACAACAAATTGCAGTCACAAAAGTGAGAGCCAAACATATTAGTGCCATGAGGGCCTTTGCGTGTCCAGGGGCACAGACAGGGATGGGGTGGGCCAGAGACTTTGGAGGCTGTAAGAGGGTCTAGAGAAGGGGTCACCTGGAGGGCTTAGTCAGGGGCTATTTAGCAACTGGTATAAAGTGATTTCCATATCAAAGTGGTGATACACCCACCTGCCCACATGGACATGTGACTTAAAATTTTATTTAATTTAATAGAGTCAGTCTCGATATGTTGCCCAGGCTGGTCTTGAACTCCTGGACTCAAGTGATCCACCTGCCTTGGCCTCCCAAAGTGTTGGGAGTGCATGCGTGAACCACTTCGCCTGGTGGGGGTGTGACTTCCTCCGTCCTGTCCTGCTCCGTCCTGTCCTGCTCCGTCCTGTCCTGCTCCGTCCTGTCCTGCTCCGTCCTGTCCTGCTCCATCCTGTCCTGCTCTGTTCTTACACACAGTGAGGCTTAAGGTGAAGGAAGTTGCTCAAGCTTGCCTTTGGTCCAGGACTCTCTGACTTCAGAGTAAAGGCTCTTAGGATGTGAGCAGGAGGATGGCAGGCAGGCAGAGAATTTAGAAAGAATGAGGGAGAGGCTCTGGCCCTCTGTAACCCAAATCACCGAGCCCTTCTCTCCCCTCAGCTCACAAGTACGTGCCTCGGGCCATTCTGGTTGACCTGGAACCTGGAACCATGGACAGTGTCCGCTCAGGGGCCTTTGGACACCTTTTCAGGCCTGACAATTTCATCTTTGGTAAGTTTCCCCTGCTCCAAGCTCTGATGGCAGACCGTATGACATGCAAGCCCAGGTCGGTGCACGGGGGCGGCTGTCAGAAATAACGAATGGTCAGCTCCTCACACGATCTTGAAGGGTGAGAACTGATCTCTCCATTTTACAGCTGGGCATTGGAGGCCCAGAGAAAGGGTTCTGTGGGGAGAACAGAAACCACTCATGCATTTCAAGTGGAATGAAGTGTAAAGCAGACAGAAGCTTACAGAATTGCTAGAGAGCTGGTGAGACGGAATGGGGCCTCCAGAGGACTCCAGGGTCCAGGAGAATGAGGCCTTGCTGCGGCCAAGAGGGCAGGACGTTCTCGTGCCTGTGTCCTGGGGCAGGGCCATAGATGTGCCACACAAACCGGAGGGCCTCGCTTCACTTCTGCCTTCCCAGCCTCAGCACACCCAACTGGTAGATGCCAGCTCGCATCCAGCGCCCAACTGCCAGGGATTCTGGGGTGGCTGTTTAGGCTCCTGGCACAGTCAGTCAGAAGGAAGGTGGGCTGGAGCAGGAGGGTTGATCCACTCACCCAGGATCCCCTCAGAAGGCAGAGCCTTGCTCTGGTGTGACCTCAAGTTCTCAAGACCCTGTCCAGAGCCCTTGTCTTCAGCACTCAGCAGCATTGACTCAGGGAAGCCACAGCGGGTATGAGAAGGGGTGCTCAGTGGGGTCTACTTTACAGAAATGAGAATGGGCACAGGGCTGCCATGGCTGCCCTGGGATGTTCAGGCAGGGGCTGGAGGTCTGGACTGCAGAGTCCCTGACCCCTGTCCCCTACCCCTCTTCTCCCTGCACAGGTCAGAGTGGGGCTGGCAACAACTGGGCCAAGGGTCACTACACGGAGGGTGCGGAGCTAGTGGACTCAGTCCTGGATGTCGTGCGGAAGGAGTGTGAAAACTGCGACTGCCTTCAGGGCTTCCAGCTGACCCACTCGCTGGGGGGTGGCACGGGCTCCGGCATGGGCACGCTGCTCATCAGCAAGGTGCGTGAGGAGTATCCGGACCGCATCATGAACACCTTCAGCGTCGTGCCCTCGCCCAAGGTGTCAGACACAGTGGTGGAGCCCTACAATGCCACGCTGTCCATCCACCAGCTGGTGGAGAATACGGATGAGACCTACTGCATCGACAACGAGGCACTCTACGACATCTGCTTCCGCACCCTCAAGCTGGCCACACCCACCTACGGGGACCTCAACCACCTGGTGTCAGCCACCATGAGCGGGGTCACCACCTCCTTGCGCTTCCCTGGTCAGCTCAACGCTGACCTGCGCAAGCTGGCCGTCAACATGGTGCCCTTCCCCCGTCTGCACTTCTTCATGCCCGGCTTCGCCCCCCTCACAGCCCGGGGCAGCCAGCAGTACCGGGCCCTGACCGTGCCGGAGCTCACCCAGCAGATGTTTGATGCCAAGAACATGATGGCTGCCTGCGACCCGCGCCACGGCCGCTACCTGACGGTGGCCACTGTGTTCCGGGGCCGCATGTCCATGAAGGAGGTGGACGAGCAGATGCTGGCCATCCAGAGCAAGAACAGCAGCTACTTCGTGGAGTGGATCCCCAACAATGTGAAGGTGGCCGTGTGTGACATCCCGCCCCGTGGCCTCAAGATGTCCTCCACCTTCATCGGGAACAGCACGGCCATCCAGGAGCTGTTCAAGCGCATCTCCGAGCAGTTCACGGCCATGTTCCGGCGCAAGGCCTTCCTGCACTGGTACACGGGCGAGGGCATGGACGAGATGGAGTTCACCGAGGCCGAGAGCAACATGAACGACCTGGTGTCCGAGTACCAGCAATACCAGGACGCCACGGCCGAGGAGGAGGGCGAGATGTACGAAGACGACGAGGAGGAGTCGGAGGCCCAGGGCCCCAAGTGAAGCTGCTTGCAGCTGGAGTGAGGGGCAGGTGGCGGCCGGGGCCAAGGTCAGCAGTGTCTGACCCCCAGAGCCATCTTGCTGCCGACACTGTACCCTGCTTTCCCCCTTGCCCTAGGGCTCCCTTGCCACCCTCCTGCAGTATTTACGGCCTCGTCCTCCCCACCTGGGCCATGTGTGTGCTGCTCCTGTCTGTCTGATTGCAGCTCCAGGCCTGACGTTTTATGGTTTTGTTTTTTACTGGTTTGTGTTTATATTTTCGGGGATACTTAATAAATCTATTGCTGTCAGATACCCTTGCTTGGTGCCAGAGATTTCCTTTTATTCTGGAAAGTTGTGTCCAGTGGGTGGAGGTGTCGACAGGGAGCCCAGGTGGGCGGGCAAGAGCTCATCCTCTCCCAGGCTGGTGGCTGAGAGAGGCCTGCGCTTGGGACCAGAAGGTGTCTCAAGGTACAGCCCATGGGGAGACCCTGGAAACAGAGAACCCGAGAGAAGGAATGGGAAGTACCTAGATAAAGCCTCATTCTAGACCCCGAGATGCAGCCCTCCTGTGACTTAGAAACAAACCCACACTCATCCCCTGGTCTCCCACAGAGCGGCTTGCATCCGGAGATTTCTCCACCTGTCTGCAGGCTGCACCCCAAGATTTCTCCCACCTGTCTGCAGGCTGCACCCCGAGATTTCTCTGTAGGCTGAAAGTTGGGGTAGGTGGACCCTGCTGGGGTGGAAACTGACATGAGACCTGAAGCCTCGGGTGAGAACCAGGGAGGTACGGAAGGGGGCCCTGAGCGCTGCCTGAAAAAGATGGTGTGTTGGGTGTCTCGGGACTGGGCCCTGACAGGGGCTGCTGGGGTCAGGGAGATGCAGCCACAGGACCCAGGCCTGGGCTGCCAGGAGGGACATGTCGGTCCACCCGCCCCTGGCAGCCCCTTCCTGGGGTGCACGATACTTGGTGTCCAGCCACACAGGAACCTGGAAGGCATGGTCTGTGGAGCTGCTCACCTGGTGCCCCACATCCTCCTACAGGGAAAGAGCCTGGAGCCCAGAGAGGCCGACTTCCTGAGCCCTCCACAGCTGCCTCCCTGCCGCCCCGCCCCTTGGAACTGACGGACATCAGCGGCCTTAGTCCCCCAGGTTCTGCCCAGTGGTTCCCTGAGAGCAGCCCCTTCTTCTTGAATCACCCTTCAACGTGGCAATGGGCTCAGAGGAAGACAGGCCATGGGCACTGCAGGCCCTAGCTTCAGGTGCCAGGACTAGAAGCCCCAGAGGCCACCATCTCGAGTTCTGGCCCTGACACCCCCAGCGTGGACAGGGCCAGGGATCTGTCTCCTCTGCCAGCTGTTGCTGTGTGACAAATCACCCCAAATCTACCTGAAACAGCAAGGGATCCTTTCTCTAGATACAGTGTATTAGCTTCTCAGTGTCAGGAGGGGGCGACTGCAAGTTCTGACACCTCCACACCTCACTCTTGGGGTTGTCCTCTGCACGGCTGCTCCACAGGGCTGCCCGGCCATCCCTTTACATGGAGGGGTGGTGGCTGGAACCACTTCTTACATGGCACTGGTTCTTTTTTTTTGAGATGGAGTCTCACTCTGTTGCCCAGGCTGGAGTGCTATGGCGCGATCTCAGCTCACTGAAAGCTCCGCCTCCCGGGTTCTCGCCATTCTCCTGCCTCAGCCTCCCAAGTGACTGGGACTACAGGTGCCTGCCACCATGACTGGCTAATTTTTTTTTGTAGTTTTAGTAGAGATGCAGTTTCACCGTGTAAGCCAGGATGGTCTCAATCTCCTGACCTCGTGATCCACCCGTCCTGGGGACCGTCCGGCTCTCCCTAGATTGTAGAAAGAGGAGCCTCGGTTTGGGGAGGTTTCTCCCCGGTTGCACAGAGAATAGGGGAGCTGTTTAGAGAAATGATCTTTGCATTTGTAATCTGGTCTAGAATCCTGGCTCTGAGGGCCTTTTGTTTGTCTTTACTTTGTTGTGAGTTTGTATACACAGAGGAGATCCCTGAGAGCACTGATGGTAGTTTCCGCAGACTCTCCCTGTTTGTCTGGTCCACCATATTCAGGGAGCCCAGAAGGAAGCTCAGCAGGCGTAACTCAGGGCGACTGTCCTTTCTTCTGTTGTGCTCAGAGAGTGTCCAATAAACTCCGGGTCGGAGGTCATCCCACCCACTTTGAGTGAATCAAAGGTAACAGGGGCCAAAGCAGGGCAAGTTTGAGCCTTGCCAGGTCAATATTGAACGCCGAGCAGGGTGACTAGTGTCTGGATTTTGGCGCATGTATTTTGTGATGGTTGGAATGGGAAAGGTTAATTTAGTTTCCCCCATGTAGCCTGTTGCAAAATCGAGAGGCTTTTGCCTGTGGTTCCATTAATTAAAAAAAGATGACTTTCTTTAGTAACACACCTTGGCCCCCACAGCTACGGTGCAGCCAGCAGGGTCACCAAAAACCACCCTGTTTTTCTGCAGCTGAAAGCTACAGAGAAAGGGAACCTGGAAATCCAGCGTGCCTGCAAAAGGGAGATAATTTCTTACCAGCCAGGCTTCTGCCTCTCTCTTTGCACTAACCCGGTGGGTGAATGGTAGAAGTAACTGTTTGTCTCCTCTGGAAGGTTTTGATTAATAGGAAAAAGGGGCCAGGCCGACAAGTGGCCTTCACGCCTGTAAGTTAAAGCCCAGCACTTTGGGAGCTGAGGCGGTTGTGGATCATGGGGTAACAAAGGAGTTACAAGACCGAGATCCTGGCCATGGAAAAAAAAAGATGTGAGTAACTCCCGTGCATACTGAATAAACAACAAAATTAGCCGTTGGTGGTGTCGGTGGTGCCTGTAAATCTCAGCTACTGACTAGAGAGCTGAGAATATAGCAAAATGAACCCGACGAGAAGCACGAGGGGGGGGGGGGGGAGGGGGGAGAGGGTATACAAAGTGAGCTGAGAAGCTGAGATCGCAAAAAATGCCAACATTGCAACACATAGTACCTCGGAAGGAACAGAGTGAGAACTCATAATACACAAAAAAAAAAAAGAAATGGAAGAAGGATTTGTGTGACTTAACGTACTTATTGATGTCTTTCTGTGATACAATTACAGTACCAATGAAGAGAGAATACCACATGTTTAGATCGGTGGGAAAGCCAGTGTACCACTTATATAAAACCATGAGGTTCACAAGGCTGCCATCAGCATGACTAGGTATCAGATTATAAAATATTTGCTAAAGAATGAGAGAATCCTATAGATCAAAAACTGGGTAGGAATTTTACCCTTCTACTATGATACTTAGTTATTGTTGGTCACTGGAAGGGCTCGAATTCGGGACCAAAAATGTGGATGAATAACAATCATAGAGAATACTCCAACGCCAATAATACTCCAGAGGGACAATGAAATATAATTATAGAGGAATATTCACGTACAGACATACCAAGATACTGAAAGAAACACAATAATAGAACAAATCAATGATACAAGACAACTTAAATAAAAATATATTTAATTTATATTATTTAATATAATTATATTATAAGAGAAATAAAAAAGACGTAGATACACAACAACATGAACATAGACAAGAAGCTGGAAGTGCAGTAGAGACACTCTGTCTAAAAACATGAAAACTCAACTGCACAAACCACTCATCCGTCTCCCTAGGTTCAAGCAAATTCTCACCTGCCTCAGCCTCACCGAGTATTCTGGGGTTATCACGGCGTGGTCCACTCACACCCGGTCTAGTTTTTTTTTTTTTTTTTTTTTTTTCTATGTTTTTTAGTAGAGACGGGGTTTGGTTTCACCATGTTGTCCCCAGTCTGTCTTGAAGTCCTGACCTTCAGGTGATCCTGCCTGCCTCGGCCTCCCAAACGTGCTGGGGATTACAGGCGTGAGCCACCGCCCCAGTCTTTTTTTTTTTTTTGGGCAGATCTCTCTCTTTGCCCAGGCTGTGTGTGCAGTGGAAACGATCTTGCTCACTGCAACCTCTGCCTCCAGGGTTCAAGCGATTCTCCTGCCTCAGCCTCCCGAGTAGCTGTGAGAGGTGACAATGTGCTAGCAGCCCTCACTCTCAGCGCCTCCTCAGCCTCGGCGTCCACTCTGGCGACACTTGAGGAGCCCTTCAACCCGCCACGGCACCGTGGGAGCCCCCCTCTGGGCTGGCTGAGGCCGGAGCTGCCTCCCTCTGGTTGCGGGGAGGTGTGGAGGGAGAGGCGCGCTCAGGAACTGGGGCTGCGCGCGGTGCTCGCGGGCCAGTGCAAGTTCCGGTGGGCGCGGGCGCGGGCTCGGCGGGCCACACACTCGGAGCGGCCGGCTGGTGCCGCCGGCCCAGGGCAGTGAGGGCCTTAGCACCCGGGCCAGCAGCTGCAGAGGTTGCGCCGGGTCCCCCAGCGGTGCTGGCCCACCAGCGCTGCACTCAAATTCTCGCTGGGCCTTAGCTGCCTCCCAGCGTGGCAGGGCTCGGGACCTGCAGCTCCCCACTGCGGTGGGCTCCCGCGCGGCCCGAGCCTCCCCGACGGGCGCCGCCCCCTGCTCCGTGGCGCCCGGTCCCATCACAGCCCAACGGCTGAGGAGGGCAGGCGCGGCTCGGGACTGGAGCGCAGCTCCGCCTGCAGCCCTGGTGCCGTATCCACCGGGTGAAGCCAGCTGGGCTCCTGAGCCGGATGGGGACTTGGAGAACTTTTATATCTAGCCAGAGGATTGTATGTGCACCAAGCAGCACTCTGTGTCTAGCTAATCTGGTGGGGACTTGGAGAACTTTTCTGTCTAGCTAGAGAATCGTAAATACACCAATCAGCACTCTGTGTCTAACTCAAGGTTTGTAAATACACCAATCAGCACTCTGTGTCTAGCTCAAGGTTTGTAAATACACCAATCAGTACTCCGTGTCTAGCTAACTCTGTGTCTAGCTAACCTGGTAGGGCCTTGGAGAACTTTTCTGTCTAGCAGTGTCTAGCTCAGGGATTGTAAAGACACCAATCAGCACTCTGTCAAAACGGACCAATCAGCTGTCTGTAAAATAGACCAGTCAGCTCTCTGTAAAATGGACCAATCAGCAGGATGTGGGTGGGGTCGGATAAGGGAATAAAAGCAGGCTGCATCTGCTTTTTTTCCCACACTTGGGGAGCTTTGTTCTTTGGCGGTTTGCAGTAGATTTTGCTGTTGTGTAAACTTTGGGTCCACGCTGCGTTTGTGAGTTCTAACACTCACTGCAACGGTCTGCAGCTTCACTCCTGAAGCCAGTGAGACCACGAACCCACCGGGAAGAACGAACAACTCCCGACCCGCTGCCTTTGCGAGCTGTAACACGC